TATTCACACGAAGTGTGCGTTCCCGGAGAAAATCTCACCGAAGAAAAGCTCACATCGAATTAAATGTTTAGAGTACAACGTGTTTGTTATAATTTGAGAACACGTAGTGCAATCAAAGATACGCACCGCCAAGGCAGGCGGTAGACACATTTCCAAGCATGCATGGTCTGTTTTCGAGCGGCTGTTGACGAATTTAACTCGGCCGGGATGGAGGAAATATATATATATATATATAATGTTTGTTTACTAATGAGTTAAATGTGCAACTCTGGCCTAGAGATTTCGCAGACTATTGCAGACAAGGCTATTCAAACTGCAGCCTACTACGGGGGTTATACGTCTTTTCCCGACTATCGTTTAATTAATGTTGTATAATTTGTTTTCGTCGTTTTACACATAAACAAATAAAAAGCAATGTTAAAAAAAAAAAAAAGATCTGATAGTAATGTGCTGAATATTCGTATGTGCTCATGCACGTATGGCATGCAAACATATTTCGATTGAGTGAACGCTTTCGCTGGAGCGAACGCTCGGTTCACAGGCGGCGTAGGCGGTATTTGCTCCGCATTGTACGGTTTTGCGGTGAGCTTTTCTCCGGTGAGCTTATCTCCGCCATCCACTCCGTTCGCCCATTTCCAGTCGTGGTGCGTTCATCCTTCTTCTGTTACGTGAACGCAGCCCCTTCCCACACCCTCGCGCAGAGAGCCGGGTCACGTGATAAAGGGGAGACGGTTTATGCGAAGCGCAAGTTCGTCTACTTCTTTTGCAGGCGTTCTGGTGACGTGAGAACCCCGACCTCTGATTGGCTCTGAATAAAGATAGTGGGTAGACCTCAAAGCAAGCTGCCCTGAGGTCTACCCACTGTCCTTTAATCAAAGCTCGGTGTTTTTCTACGTCCCAACAACCTTCGCAAAAGGAGCAGACGAACTTGCGCTTGGGATGTCGCACGACCAGGGGCCCTAAACTCGCGAAACCCAAAGTTTGAGCCGAAAGTTCACGGAGCGCGCCGATTGGACGTCGGCGAAAAAAGCGCGAAGTCATCATCCTGATGGGCCAATCGGTGCGCTCCGTGAACTTCGGCCCCAACTTTGTGTTTCACGAGTTTAGCTACCCCGTCGAACACAAAGTTTGGTCCGAAGTTCACGGAACGCACCGATTGGACGATCACGACGATGACTTGGCGCTTTTTTCGGCGGCGTCCAATCGGCGCGCTCCGCTAACTTCGGGCTCCAACTTTGTGTTCCACGAGTTTAGGGCCCCTGAAGTGAAGCGAACGGAATACGAGGAAAACCGAAAGTGAAGGTCATATATTCAGCTGCCGGAAAGCGTTTTAACCATTGTGATTTTCTTCTATTTCTCACACTAAATGGAAGTCGTTGCTTTTATGGCTCGCTCTTCAAGAACTCTCTGACGTGAAGCCACCGCGCATGCGGAGTCGCGTCGCCTCACGCGAATCTGGCTTCCGACGTCTTGAAAGTAGGGGTGTCGCGAACCGGCCGCGGTTCGAGTTCGACCAGGTTCGACTTTTTCGAACTTTTAGTGGAAAGTTCGACGAACCTTGTATTGAGGTTCGACTCGTGTGCGCATGCGCGACAGGCTGGCCGGTTGGCTTCGGATTGGATGGTAATGGCTAAGAGATTAATTAAGTGCAGTGCTGATTGGCTATTTCAGTTAATACAGTACTAAAAATTAAATTATTAACTTCTTCAGTGATTAGAATTAGTTTCTTTTAATTGCAGCTGTTCACAAAATAAAATAGCCCTTTGCATAAAAAAAAAAAATTCTCCAAACCTAGACATGCTTGTATCAAGGGCTGGTCACACTGTCCACAAAGTCGAACCGGTCGAATCTGGTGAAAAGTTTGAAGGTTCGTCGAACCGGTTCGACCCAGTCGAACCCCGAAAGTTCGACCAAAAAATCTGGTTTGACAAAAGTTCGCGACACCCCTACTTGAAAGTGAGGTGGTGAGGGTTTTGCAGGGAGATGACGTCACGGGCTATGCGTTGTCTAGATTTAGTTTGATGACCTAATATAATGCTATGCCACTAGAGACTAAGCATTTCTTTCTAAAAAAAGCTCGTGTATGTAATTTATTTTTTCATTAAACAAAGGTTGGCCATAAAATGCTCATAGACCAACACACTGTTTCCAAACAAGCCCGCGTCTGCCCACACCAGGTCTGGGCACTGCGCTTGCTCCGAATCCAGATTAGCGTGAAGTTTCTGCGCATGCGCCGTGGCGAGAACAGCGCCACCACAGGGGCGTGACGTCAGAGCCGCATGTTGGTCTATAGAGAAAAGGGGGGCGATGCCCCCCGTCCCCCCCCCCCCCCCCCGGCCGGCCCCCTAAAAACCGCCCATGACTCGGCAAAGGGGAAACCGCAGACGACGCTACGAGCGAATAGGACCAATCAAGCAGCGCCAAAAGAGAAAGTCACTAGGCCTAGTTTCTGTTTATGGTTGGTTCAGCGATGATAGAACACGCACAGGAACATGACGGACATCATGACGGTGCACTCTTGACGCTGCATAGCTCGTAGCGTCGGCTGCGTCTGGACTTGAGGTGGAACGATGTGTAGCAGAGTTCGTGAGAGCTCTCCACAGATATGCGTACCGGCAGGGGGTTGTCACGTGCCTCGTCCCAACGCCCTGATTGGCCCGCTGGGGCTATAGCTTTCTCAGTTTGCCAAATGTGGGAAGACCCCATGATCGCTGCTCTTAACTGGTATCCTTACTGGAAAAGGGGGGTTCATTATATACATAATTTCCCGCTGTATTTTTTTTTTCACCAGCTTTGATTTGTTTACGTTGAAAGTCCCCCCTTCCTACAAAGAAAATTTCACGTGGGGGGGGGGGGGGGGGGAGATATTGGGGCACGCGGCGGCCCTATTTGGTTCCTTTACTGAGCTGCGGTGACCTCGGTTTAGCTCTTGCACCGTAGCGTATGTGTCCGCCATAGATTACCCCCCCCCCCCCCCCCCACACACACACTTTTGCCACAGAGAGGTCTTCTTCCCCTCTTCCTTTTTTTCCCTGTGATTCCTAAAACGTGGATTAGGGAAATAGCTGAGGGATAGACGTAGGCCTCTGACGATCTTCAAGTCACAAAGAGCTTCGTTCCGCCAAAATAATGAAGTCTTGGGTCTGGCGTGCAAGTTTGCGCTGGGAGGGTGTCGCCGCGCGGTGTGTGTGTGTGTGTGGAAGGTCAAAACTCCTACGCCCCCCCCCCCCCCCCCCCCCCCCCCATTCATATGCATAGAGCGTTTCCCGTGGGCCCTGGCAGTGCGTCACCTTATTTAACCGGAAGACCGCGTGGTTCGTTGGTACACTCTAAAAAAAGGGTGTCGTCTTACACCCTTCTGTCCCATATAATGCACCCCAAAACTTCAGTTCGACGTACAGCCTCCTGTACGCCGAAGTAAAGTTTTGGGGTCTTATATGGGGACAAAGGGTGTAAGAATACACCCTTTTCTTCTGAGAGTGTAGCTCTCCGATTGGCTCCGTTGGCTTACTCTTTAGTATGGAGCTAAGGTTTGCGAATCACCTTGGTGGCTTTGATAAGTGCCCCTTCTGAACATGCACGCATGCGCCCGCACATCAAGAGGCGCCTCCTAAAGCAAAGGGGTCGTAATTCTAGGCTTTGTGGTAGTCCACGTTTTACGGACGATAAACACCTTCGACGGTCTGATAACGTCCGTCCTTCTTTCAAGTTCCAGTGGAAGACCTCGAGAGCCGCAGGGAAACTAAAATCGACATCGGCATCAGCGGCCATGGCGCCGTCGTGGATCCTCCGTGTGAGTTGATATTCAGATATGCTCCGTTGACTTTCCTGGGGGAATGACCATTATGGAAAATTCAAAGAGTTGGCGACCTTAGCCCGATGGAGATGCAGAAATAGAATGGTTCGGCAACTTCCGTGTCAAACGCGCCAGAGAAAATAACAAATGTTGCGAGGTGGCGCTGCTGATAGTAGATGCATCGTCGATCGACGTGGATTAATGCATGGTCGGGTCCGGCTAGGGCGTGATGACATCTAACCCTTTTGTTCCAAACGCTTTTTTTCTTTCTTCTTTTAAGCTTGTGAAAGAGCGTTTTCCTGCACGCGTTCTTGGCGCTGACTGCCCTACGGCGACACCTTGTTTTCGGTGATCTCTGTATTTTTCCTGTGAGCGCGTGATGTCGGCCTTGGGTGCTACAAAGTATGTCATCACACAAAACAGAAGGTCATCGGGGCATCCTAGGTCCGGCATCCATAGATATATTTTTACCCCGGAGAGCGGTGACAAGGAGGACAGAACAACACAAATCTCCAAAATGGTCTGTCCGTCAGCTTCCGTGTCCGAACGCCAGAGAAAATGACGAATGTCTGTGGCGTTGGCGCTGCTAATGGTAGATGCATCGTCGATCGATGTATCAAACTGTCACTGGAGTCAGAACTTGGACACCGAGGAAAAGTCTGCTCTTCTTTTTTACCCTTGGTATCATCCGTGTGTGTTTGTCCTTTGCCATCCGTTGTCTCCAGTTATAATGAACAGTGCGCGTGCTCTGAACGCAATTTATGCACATTTCTTACGAAACAAAATGGCCCGTGAAACCGGACGACAGACGTTGACGCGTGCTAGGCTTAACAGAAACGTATACGATTGGAAAAGTAAAGAGGGAAACACGAGGAAAAGAAATTAAGCAGAAGAGGACAAACTTCGCAGTTTGGAATTCTGCGTTGCGTCATTGATGGTATAAAGAGCCACGGAATTCAGCTTTCCAAAGGGATAATCTAAACCGTTCTTCGATCGCCAAAGAGTCGCTCGCGAGCGGCGCGACAAAACTTTCCTTTCTGTCGATCTCAGCAACCGAAACCCTCCCATTCGCCACGAGATAAAATGATGATGACTGGAACTGTTACAAGGAAGACGGGAGGGGGTTTTGGGGGGGGGGGGGGGATTTTTGTGGAAAGCGCGCCGAAGAGAGGTCAGTAGTTGGCCTTGATTCGCGCGCGCAAAAACGCGCCGTGGCTGCCGTCTACTGCGGCGTAGAATCGAGACGAGGCGAATGAGCCACTCTTCGCAGGGGGCGCTGCGGTTCTTCCCCTTCTCCGCTCGCAGGCACGCACTCACTCACTCACCCGTCCCGTATGTGTGGCAGTTTGTTTTGACGATGCACGCTGGATAGATACTGCGGCGCTGTCATGCGCGCGTGAAGAAGTTATCATCTCGATTAATCGAAAAGTGATCTCCGGCGACACCTCCCCCCCTCCCCGTCACTGTGCTTCAATCACGCACCGACAGGTGAGCAAACTCTGGCTGTTCGTGGGGAACGTTCCGAGCTGTCTTTCGGTCCCACACAGCTACTCGCCAAGGAGTCGGCTGGTTCTTTTCTGTTTGTTACTTCGTTCGGTCCACATAGAAACCCGATCTAGGTTAGCTGGGTACTTCTAATCTTGCACTTTCTTTCCGCGGTGTCGGTTCGGTCCCCAGCCTTGGACGACATCCTTTGTGCGACTGCACTTTCGTTGGCGTCGCCAACTCTGTGAGGTTCTTGAACTTGACTGTGCTGTCCCGTTATGGAACATGAAAACGGAACATTGGGCTCACTGGGCGTCTAGGCCCGCCAACTGACAGCTTTATTTTTTATTTTACATTTTTTTAGGGTTCTTGGGATTCCCAGAAGGTCAGTGCTCCGTGCTGACGGATGTTTTCTTGTTTTTTTTTTCTCTTCGTTTCGTAGCTCCCGATCTTGGCACGGACATGTCGACGCAATACAGCAAGGTGTGTGTGAATTGGTTTTGTTTCATTCTGGTATGGGGGGCTCTTGAGGTAAAGGGTTAATTGGCGTTTGTTTTCTATTCTTCGCTAATTTTTGTATGTTTGTTTTTGTGCGTGCCGTGCCTCGGTAGCGTCTCAACGAGCTTCGGCGCGCGTTCAAGTTGGGCAAGACGCGACCTGCGAGCTACAGGGTCCAACAACTCAAGGCTTTGGACAGGTTTCTCGTCGACTATCACGACGCGTTCGTGCAGGCTCTCAAAGAGGACTTGAACAAGGTGAGGCAATCCCGTCGTCGGCTTTTTTTACGTCTTTTTTATTATATATATATTTGATCCGACTTCTTGCGAGCCGAGTGCATGTGCGTTCGTCTAGCTACAAAAAAAAAAAGGAGCAAGATGATTTTTTTTTTTTTTTTTTTTTGTTTAGTAGAGGTTTTGATTTCCTTCTTCTGTCCCTTCTAATTTATCTTCAAGTGTCCTTGAGACGTTGCCTCCTCTTTTTCTACGTTCTGTTGTTCTCTTTTCTGCCCCAGTCTCAGGTTTACAATCACGTTCAACTTACACCAGCTCGCCTGCACTCTATTTTTTCGTCCTTCCCATTCTCGGGGTTTAAACATCATGATATTAGGTATAATTAAAGGTTAAGGTTCGGCAGCTCTCTGGATGCTTAGGGGGAGACATTAGATGAAATTTACAATTACTGTAAACGACTAAATTTTCGCGAGGACCCAATTTTCGCGAATTTCGCGAATCGCCTACAATTCGCGAAAAATAAGTCCCGCGAACAAATCGGGCAATATGTGAACGCTACAGAAGCTACACTCGATTCGCGAAAATTAAAACCCGCGAATAATTTCAAATTTCCAGCTTTGTCCCGATTTGCGAAAATTTGAGCCCGCGAAAATTAAGTCGTTTACAGTATGTTGATGAACCATCTGCAGATATTGAGTGCAGGTGGTTTGAACATTTTTCTGCACTAGTGCATCCGCATCCGCGATGGCTCCTCTGGACATGTGCAGACGAGTCGTCCGCAGATATTGTGTGCAGGAAGTTAGAATGTTTTTTTTGTCTCTTTTACTGCTCTGCACTGCTGCCTTTCCGAGGGCAACATGTTTCAAAATCACATTTACTTCAGTTGTCGAGTGAAAAAGCGAAAAGTTGTCTTCGTGAAAATTCGTATAAAGTGAAGTTGACGGTGCGGAGAAAGCTACTGACTTGTTGGACCAGTCACGAGTAAATTTTTTAGAGCGCACCCGGGGTCACGTGACTACCCGCAGGTGACGTGACCCCCCTCAGTACCCTTCCCTACTCCTCCTCAAGAGCTGCGCTCCAATTCGGCGTTACAGGGATTTGTAAACGGCTTTCAATTTTTCTCCGTGTACACCCTCTCACCGACACCCACTTGCAGAGAGCGGATCGGGCATTGAAAGGCAGGCGATTGATTGGTATGGCGAGCAGGTAGCTTCCGTCGCACTGCTAGCTTATCCGTGAGCAGAGTATAGCCTTTCGTTAGATTGTCTAACCCTCAGATTTTTTTCCCTGTAATGTCGCACAAAATGGTCGGTGTCTTCACGACTCTCTAGGCTGAAGACGTTTGACTGCAGCTATGTACATTGAAAATGCGATCATGTTTTGATGTTGCCGTTTCAGAACAAGTTTGAGAGCATCCTGTTCGAGATCAACTTCACCCGAAATGAGATCAAAGGCACCATCATGGAGATCGAGAAATGGATGAAACCCGAAAAGGTATGCTGCTCGGTTTGCTGTCAGGAGATAGATCCGCGTGCGACATAAACATTCCAGCTAGAAAAAATTTAATTGAATTGTATCGGTTTTATTCACATACTAGGTCTAGGGTAATGGGGAAAAAGGCAAAGTCTTCCTGACGTGGCCCTATCACCCGTTTACACTGCTCAGCAGACGAAAACAAAAGGCAATACACATTCAAGAAGTACAAGAAGATACAGTCGGTGACGTACCAACTTGTTTTGGAGTGTGGGGGGGGCAAGCCAGACCCCCCTCCAAACCCAGGGCCAGGGGGCAGTGCCCTTCTATCCCTTGGCCCTCCGGCCAGTGTTTGTACTGCTCACTGGCGGCTGTTTCAGGAGGGGGCGGGAGGCAAAACACATGCTGTGCCCCCCCCCCCCCCCCCCCCCCCCCTTTGGTACGCCTATGGATACAGTAATACATCAACTATCGGAACAGCATATTTCGTTCAGAGTTTATGCAATCGTCAGTGCTTGTCTCAGCACTTTGGAAATGGAAAATGAACCAGGTAACACAAGCCATAAGCAATGAAAACACTATCTGAAAGTATTTACTAAATGTGACATGACAGAAGGTACCGTTTTATACGCTTTTTGAAGCACAATCTGAAATCATTTCCATAACGGCTGGATGTTCGTTTAAGAAATCCGGTATTAGGCATGATCATTGCTGATGTCTGTAATTCATCCTAGTCCAAGGTATTCTACAAGAGCAATGTCAAAGATTGTATTGCGTATTATTAGAAAGAAGTGCGTCAAGAAAACTGGACTGGTCACTAATTATTACATTATATGTATTGAAATATTAAGAGGGAGTAGATGACTAATGGTAAGAAAACTGTTAATAAAAATAACTGTGCTGTGTGGTCAGTACACTGAAGGTTTTCTGTACTACATACTGCTTTTTTTTTTTTGCAAAAGAAATGACTTGTCAATATTTATTTTAGTTGTAATGCATAGACAGTAATGGAGATGAAAGCGCACTAAAGTATAGTACAACCAACATTTTAATCAGCATGGAACCAGCAATCTAATTTTATATAAAATACCAATAGATCTAGAGATGGTCACGTGAATTTTATTTGTATGAAGTGTCCAGGGCTTTTTTTTTTTTTTTTCAAAAAGAACTGTTAAGAATTTATAGACATAGACATGCTCAGTCACAGAGTCTTGGAATTTTAAAATATTTTCACAAGCAAGTTTACTTCGTGGCTTAAAAATGGCATATTTTGTTTTCGTAACATTTAACTGAAGTTGATTATAGAGTCAAGCCAGCCTGATAACTCGTTGAGCCACAGGTTAGCAGTAATTTCAAGATCACGCAAAAATGGGCCAGAAAGTAATAAGCTTGCATCGTCTGCGTACAAAACTATTCAGAAATGTTTGATATACATACAATATCGTTCATATAAATAATAGTAAACAACCTAAAATGGACCCCTGTGGAACCCCATATGAAAGTTTGTTCTGGTTTGGACTAATATCTATTAAAACACACATTTTGTAAACTACATACCGCATCTAAAGCAACTCTTCGAATTCCATAAAATGGTGCTTTATAGAACAAGGTATGCTTAATGAAATCAAACGCAATTCTAAAATAAAAAAAAAAAAAAAATATTCTAGTGGTAAATAGTATATTTCTGAAATTATTGATCAATTTTTCTTTGATACTAAGTAGTGCCATTTCAGTTGACTTCTTTTTCTTGAAACCCATATTGCTACATTGCAAAAACATCTCGAGCGTTCAAAAACTTTCTGAAGTGTTTTTTCATCAGATGATTGAATACTATTGAAAACGAAGGCAACTTTGGCAATTTTCATGCCACCAGGAGAAGTGCCAGTGGCTAATGCATTGTTACATACATGCTGCAGACGAGAACAGAAGAGGTGAGCGACAGGTATGATTGGTGTGGCCTCGATGTCTGCTCCGGCTGCTGTGTTTATATTTAAAGATTTGAGAATTAAGTATATGTCTTATTCTTCATTTGGGGTCAGGAAAGTAACTTTACGGCTGCAGACAAAATATGCTTCTCTAAACTTTCTTTTGAGCCACGTGACTGCAATGACCAACCACATTGTAATAATCTGCACATGTCTGCTTGTAGCCGCTCCCCCCCCTTTTTGTATTGACACTGTGCTTCATTTCACCCTACGATGAAATACAGGCAAAGATACGGGTATGTTGCTCCAATGTATGTATCGATGCGCGTGTGTCCTGAACTACAGATACACACAGCGCAACACTGCGACACATTGTTTCCGACTGGTCCGCGATTGAATCCGGCGGCGCATAGCTATGGCCCAAGTCCGGGGATCTTGGGTTCAGTCCCACACCTGCCGGTTTTGACCTGGACGAGCATCACACCAGCTTTCTGTTCTGTTTTTCCATTACGTGGTGCACATTAAAGACCCCCAGGCCACCGGCAGCACGGGACTGGCTTTGTTTCTCACCTGCACAGCGGAGACAGTAGGCACCTGTTACGACCAAAAAACTTTTAGCCGTCTGAACAAGCTCACAATGCAACTCTCGTAGGGAAAGGGGGGGGGGGGGAAGGGGGGGGGGAGGGGGAGGGGGGGGGTGAAGTATGAACTTTGGTTCATCTTTCCCTTCTCTCGGGTAACGTTGCCTTACAGCACTTCTGGAAGTCAGTCACGCAAAACTCGGAAGTTTTTATGCGCTTGTAGCGTATTCTCACAAACTTGCATTCTTGAAATATTGTTTGGAAGGCTGTAGCTCTTTCAGCTTGACATTATTCTCAGTCTCGAACTTCAGAGGATGCGACATGCCGTGCAAGTACTGCATTACCTTCGATGGGGTGCAGCGCCATGCAAAACGCTAGGACACTATACATTCGCAGTGTTGGATTGGCTGGGACGGCTGCTAGCACGCGCTGCAGTCCAGTCCAGTGCAAGGCGGAATGGAGTATACAATTTTTGTGTCGACTCATGTTGGGTGTTGCACTGCCGTTAAAGGGGTACTCCGCCGATTTTTGAGCTACCTCAACTAACTATATTTTCTGACTCCCAGGCCTTTACCCTTTCTGGTATGCTGTTTAGTATCGTGAAATTCATAATAGTTATTGCGAAATCGGCAAATGAAAATGATGCAAAAACAGACATTCAAATATACCCGCCCTTTTCAGGGCCGTGACGTCAGTGGAAGTTCAGCTTGCCAGTCGGGCGCGCAGTCTAAAAAATAGAATATGCCAATCATTTGATCCGTGCTGGAGCGCGGGGACTGGAGCGAGCTTCCAAAGCATTCATTTGACACCATGAAACTGCTTCGAATCAGTTGGGAACAAATTCTACAGTCCAAAGTGTGAACCCCTGCACTTCCAATGACGTCACTTTTTCATTGTTGCCAGTAGAGACTTTCAGTTTGAAAAACACGGTGAGGACCAAAATTGTAAATTCAATAACTTTGTGAAAAAAAATTATTTTGACCTAATATTTAAGATACTATTTTGGCGATGTTGTTTGGCGAGTTTAGCAAAATTTCAAGCAAATCGGGGACCATGAAGAAATCGGCGGAGTTCCCCTTTAAATGCCGTTTCTTTGTGTATCTTTGGGCCGTTTCAGGCGGCGAAGAACATCATGTTGATAATGGACGAGGCGCTGGTGCACAGCGAGCCGTATGGCGTGGCGCTGATCATCGGGGCCTGGAACTACCCGCTGCAACTGACCCTCTGCCCACTGATCGGAGCCATTGCGGCAGGAAACTGTGCGGTGATCAAGCCTTCGGAGAATGCGGCTGCCACGGCCAAGGTCATCGAGGAGCTCGTCCCTAAGTACCTTGATCCGGTGAGTTAAGCTGCTCGATTTTTCCTCCTTGGAAGTATTCATTCTCCTTGGTTATCTTTGAGTTTTGTTTTCTTAAATACTCTCTCCTGCGCTTTTGATGCAGATAAATGTTCATACTACATAAATGCTGCAAGCTTTATTTTTTTTTTTTTATTTTTACTTGTTAGAAAACTAACTTGTGTAATCTAGACTTGTGTAACCTAGATGTCACAAATACTAAAGTTTTGAAAACTGTTTTTGTAGTGCTAGTTTGTTGTTTTTGATTGTTCATCTTTGCAAAAGAGTGAAATTGAGTTTTTTTTTTTTTACAGATATTTATATGTTCTTAAAGGGCAACTCCGCTTCTTTTCCAGTAGTGCAAAACTATACAGTTCTCTTTGTTATCCTCTACAAAACCCCCATGGCAAATATTACGACGGAATTCCGCCTAGAAGTTCATTAAAATCGCTGTCAAAGTTTGACAAGCACGAATCCGCTGGTTTTGGATGAGACGTGCGGGCCAGACAACACTGGCCGGCTGCATTTCCGCTTCCTCCAAATTCCTTCTCCCGGCACGTCCGCGACGTCATCAAGCATGTACAGCCTCTTCTTTTTTTTTTTTTTTTTTTCAATTTTGTTTTCTTTTCCGGGGAGAGCACGGGTGGCGCCAGCGCCGTGCTCTCCCCGAAGAGGGAAGCTGCCTTTGTAAGAATTTTGAGTGACAGGTTAATCCTCTATAATCTTCTGGGGGGAGAATAGCGACGCCTGTGCTAATCCAGGAGGCACAAAGGAGGATCCTGATAAGAGGGGAGCTCCTTCTTCCCCTTGTATATCACGTGGGTGTACATGCTCAGTGATGCAGAATATAGTGTTGTCCGGCTTTGCCACCGTTTCGGTTTCGGTTTGTGATCATGGCTAGAGTAAAATTACACGAAAAATATTTTATTTTTTGCGAAACAAAGGATTGGGGATTGTTTTTGAGTGCTTCAAAAAGCAAAATCGGCCACTATCTCAAAATTTTTGAAATTAAGCGGAGTTGCCCTTTAATACAAAAATTCTCCAAGCTTTTCTTTTTTTTTTTTTAATTGAATGAGGTTAGTTAACTCCTTGGCGGTCGCTGCGTACATCTATGGCGGGGATTACACAATTGAAAGTGCCCTCTCGGACGCGAAACCGTGCACACCGCAGGAGAGGTGGGGAGGGGGGTGTTACTATTTGTTTTGTTTTTGGCAAACTACGATCGTTATGAGCAAGGTGTTAATCTTTTCTGGGACTATTTATAGTTTTGAAATGAGACCCTTTGTGCAGACAGGTGCTCTGGGAAGGGGGGGGGGGGGGGGGGGAAGGAAGGAAGGAAGGGAAGGGAAGGGAAGGGGGGGGGGGGTAGTGGCAATTGTAGGGCTGTCTCTTCTGATCCATATTTTTAATGCTGGTCAGAATCGAATTCTGAGGATGATAGCTCACCATCTGATGAAGGAGCTTCGTAAAGCACCACCACTCCGAAATTTGGGACCGCCGGAATGTCACGGAAGCGGACACACCAGTATGAAATTGAAATCGAATGGAAAAAGGAGACAAACTTTCGCCTTCCGTATTTTCTTTTGACGGTTCTGAACCAGAACAGCTTGTAAGGACTGTACGTGCTCTTGTTGGATACTTATTAAGAAAAATAACCTGTGCGTTGACGCCTTTCTTCATGCTATTCTTTTGAAAACAAAACATGATCACTGGGAAACATTTTCTGGGAAATTAGTTCGATCGTCAAAGGGTTAAATGGATGCAGTTGGTGAGAAAACAAACTTGTGATCTGTTGTATGGTGTGATTTAGATGTCACAAATACCAAAGTTTTGAAAGTGTTTTGTACCAATCCTAGTTTGTTATATGGTGTAAGTAGACTGGCAATTGCCTTACTTATAGTTTGATAGTTTCTCTACTTGTTTATGTTTTAGTGACTGCTTTTCTCACAAGTGAAGCTATTGTAGGTGGGTTGCAGCGTGTGCCATCTTCTTGCTTAAGCAAGATGACTAGCAGTTTTAAAAGGACAATAAAAGTAATTTGAAGTTTTTGCTTTTTTATTTTCTTTACCCTGATGCGAGCTAAACGAAGTACGTCACTTTTCACCGGAATACTGCAATTTTGCCGTGTCGTTGTAAGGTAAAGATATGTCTCTTTTCCAACCCACAGTTGCATGTTATTAGTTTAAGTTATGACATATACATGTCTGGGTATATTGTAGCGAGTGAGCCCTTTGTGCAGTCATTGGCACAAAAGTTAGCCCTCTGTTATTTGGGTAATGTTGCTTGGTCATTGACAAAAGTACAGGGACGGTTTTGTATCGCCTGAAGGCCTGTATTGAATGGAAAGCTTAATAGCATGACACTTGAGAAGTAGATGGCATTGTTCAACATAGTGCATCATTTGGAGGGGTGCTTGCTGTAGTGCCAGTTACATGGAAAATGGTGGCGAGGATTGCTGTGCATCACCTCACCTTGCAATAAACCGCGGTGAATTCTCGATCCTTTGGAACCAATCATCATGAGAGCATCACGTGACCTTCAAGAGGGGCCCAGGTCCGCAGGGCAGGTCGTCACGTGATACATTCGCGGCATTTAATTGACTGGGATGGCTCGTGGCGTTCACTGTGGCCCATCGTATGGCGAAACGGGGTATAGAGACGGGGCAGAATTGTAAGTTTTGTGCTTCCACGGGGGAATTACTACAAACTTGACCTTGCAGTGGTAGTTACGTGCAAGGGATTTGCAGTACAGTCTACACTCGTTACAACAGACCTGGTTACAAAGACATTTAGATATAACATACCGATTTCTGAAGTTTGGTTGATTTTCCTCTACATACCATTGACTCAACTTCCTATTCGCATGCAACATACTCTTTTTACAACGGACTAAAATGTTGGTCAAAATCAAGGTCTGTTATAGCGAGCTTAGACTGTAGTAGTTACGTGCGAGTGATCTCTTGAGTTTGAATTGGCTCCAAAGGGTCGAGAATTCACTGCGGTTTATTGCAAGGTGAAGTGATGTATACCAGTCCTCGCCACCACAGAGTAACTGGCACTACAAAAAGCACCCCTCCAAATGTTGCATTATGTTTTCCAAGTTGTTTGAATAATGCCATCTACTTCAAGTGACTGCTGCTATTAAGTTTTCCATTCAATACAGGCCTTCCGGCAATATAAAACTGTCCCTGTATTTTTGAAGAATCCATTCTACCTCGTTTGTCTTTAAGTGAAGACCAGCAACACTCACAGCTGTCAAATTAATATTTTTCGGCCTGCATTCCTTAAGCCACGAGCCAATCTAATTTATTTAGTGTCAATGTCTGTTTTTCGTTAGTCTTTTTTTCTTTTTATGGGCTTTCGGTTTATGGGTTTCGGTTTTTCATTAGTCTTTTATGGTTTTATGGGTATGCTCGGCCTTTCTCTTTAGATGGCTCAGTGAAGTGGTGCTCTTTGCCAGACCTATTTTTTTGGGGGGGGGGTTGGGGCGGGGGTGGTATAAAGGAAACAGAAAGGCGGATTTTGATGTCGCCAACCCAACCACGTGACCGAGGCTTCGACTTGCGTTCCACAGGAATGCTACACCGTGGTGACTGGGGGCCCCAAGGAGAGCTCGGAGCTGCTGACCGAGAAGTTTGACTACATCTTCTACACGGGCTCCATCAACGTCGGCAAGATCATCTACGAGGCTGCACAGAAGCACCTGACTCCCGTCACGCTCGAGCTCGGCGGGAAAAGGTGACAGATTCGACCTATAATCCAAAACCTTCGGCTTGCACCTGCCCCGATTCGGGGGACATAAAGGGGGCGGCCGTCTCCCTGATTCGGATCAAAACTCGCGCGTCGGAACGGATGGATGCGTACGTCCGAATCCTCTGTCGGGTGGTGGCTTGCGCCACCTGGCGGGCAGACACACGAAATTCTTGCATTGCCCGGGCTAAAGTGTGTGAATAAATAAATGAAATCGGATGTTGCGAGGCTGAGACATATTGATGCAGAGAACTATGGGAGATATGAGAATGCACAATCTGGCCTTTGTATTCGGCAGAAGGAATCAACAAGGCAAGGAGATGCTGGGCACGGCTATGCCAATGTTTCTGCTTCATTTTTACTCCCACAAGCTTCGAGACTACCGTAAAATTTCGAGAGATGCCCGACCCTCAAGGATAGGCCACCCCTATTTTTGGCTTGATTTGCTATAGTTTTTAAACACTTCAAGATAGCCCATTCTCAATAACACTAGTGTTCAAATCGATGAGGACCTTGGTGTAAATGCGGCTAGTTCCTTATCGTGAGATATAAGCGAATTTTGCTGACTGGGAAGTACAGTCATCTTTGCTTCGTTGCCCCTCGCCACCATAACAAGCTCAAAAGGGACACAACCTAAGAACAGCAATTTTTTAAAACTTTTCTCGATAGTACATTGAAAGTTTAGCCCAATCCATATTTTCAGCTGATTTGCTCTTGATGTTCGGTGGCCACCTCGGGATTTTATCTCTCGGGATTTTACGGTAGAGTGAAAATTGACGGACTGGTTTCTCCGCTATAAACGTGTACACGACATATTTAACACGTGCTTTCTGTTTTCGCCTCCTCGGGTACGAGACAAATGGAATTCCCGGAGAAACAAACTTTGTTGGTACAATTAGGTTGTGCAGCCAGTGTGTAATTAAGGTAATTACACAGCTGTAATTGCGCTGCGGAGCGCAGTTAGTCGTCTCTGAAAAACGGTCGCTGACCGTGTATGCCGACACCTGCCATGGCTGACCTATTGGAGCGCGGAAGCATTATTTTTAAGCGGTGGCTTTTCAAACGTGAGGGGGGCGGTTCGCGAACCCGTGTGGATGCGCCAAGTCCTCGTTTGTTAGCAATCAAACCAAGAAATGAAGCTTTTTAGTACGATATTTGCGATGTTACACTACAAGGTTTAATATATTTCTGAAAAGAAATATAGCACTTTTTTGTCGTGTTACATGTGCATATGACAATAGGTCTATTGCACTAGAAATTACCGGCATTTATTTATCCTGACATCGCAATCACTCATTGCCTCCCCTACCCTCGCCAATTAAGGATCGGGTCCCCATTCATTTCCGCCGATCCGCAAGGGATCCCCAAAAAATCGGTGATTGGGGACCTAGGGCTTGAAATAGAGATAGATTAATGAAGTGCCTGTGCTCATGGTCTGTCACAACTCGTTAGGACTCCCTTCTTTTCAGAGGGGGGTGTTAAAGGGGTCATGAAACGCTTTTCCAACTTTTTCCTGTTTAGCTTTCCTCCTCAACTCATAAATCGCGCATTCCGCCAAACAGTTCAAGAAGACGAAAAGAAGGGAGGCCTTTCCTGCTCGGAATCTCGTTTGTGTAATCCGGACACATCCATTCCCCCCTAGAAGATTAGCCCGTCGCTCAAAATTCAGACAAAAGCTGCTTTCCCCAACCCGTTCACCCCGAAGCTGACAGTGCTGTGGAAGCTACGTGCTCGTTGGGCCAGCCACACCTTTGTCATGTGATCACGCTCCTTCGCGCATACCCACGCGCCGAGAATGAGGTCGGGATGAAAGGGAGGCGGCTGATTGGTCCGGCAATCGCGTAGCTTCCTCCACTATGTCAGCTTAGGGGTGAAGGGAATAAGTGAGGTCCAATTTCGTGTGTCGTGCGTTTGGACCCGATGACGCGCTTTTGGGACCGCGGATGTATTACAGCGAAAAGAGAGAGAGCTTACGAAGGGGAGGAGGTACGAAATAGTCCGCTGTGTTTTCAAATTTTCGCACTGAAAGTCAGGCTTTTGACTTTCTACCTTTTTTCTTTTGGCCCACTGAGTGATGTGCTATTAGTAAAATCCCAATCTAAAATGATTTATTCCAACCCAAAATTCGTTTCATGGGCCCTTTAAGACTGGAGCAGAGCAGAGTGCAACGAATTGCTAGTTCTCGCACCTGGTCTTGAGGGAAGGGACGAGAAAGAGTGACGAAACAACGATAAAATAGAAAGCAGACGGTACGCCGAGCGTGTCTGTTTTGCCGCGAGGCATTGAATTTGAGCAAGAGATTGTTTTTAAAACTTGGTCGAGCAACATTGGCGGTTGCAGTTTTTGGGACACAAAATGGGCGATTGGGTTGGAGTCTTTGCCGGACACTGATGCAGCACCTTGTGCCCAATACATGCTCGGAGTGTGTGCACAAACAATGGCGGACTCTGCTGATTGGCAGAGTAGTTACTAGATGGCGTGCCTTTTCGAAAAAGGGTCTTGCGGATGCAAGACACAAGGAGTTTTCTCGCAGATTAACGCTAACGAGACCTAAGGTACTGACATTGCGAGGGAGGTTTTGCCGCTTCTTCGTGTTTACTAACGCTTCATTGTCAATTTGGGCACACCGGAACCACCATTTTCGGCCCTGTGCCCCGCCTCGATTTGGCGGCTCACCGATGCTCGCTCCATCCGTCAATTCTGCAAACCCTGTGTCTTGTGCTAGGGAGGAAGAGGAATGAAAATCGGTGATTCCCTCGCCGGGGTGAAAAGGCGGAGGGTGATGTTTTTAGTTTTTTTTCTTGATCCCCCATAGGTCATCCTGGCAATATCCCACACTGCCTGGTGATAGTTAGCGGGAGAAAAGTGGTCTTGGAAGGGTGGGAGGAATCGTATGTCTGTCCTTGTAGACTTAGGCTAGGTGGCGCATGCTACTGCCCATTACAAAAGCTATAGCCATTAACATCCATCCATCCATCCATCCGAGGAGTGAAGACGCGGGCAGAACGCTGAAAATTGCAAGCACCGACATTTGTGGTTTCGAGGGAAAGAATGAAAAAAGGTGTGACATAAAAGAGGAGAAAGTAAGCAGACTGAAGCTAGGAGTGTTAATTTTGCCAAAACAAGTCAAGTCTTGACAAAATTGTTTTTTTGTACGATGCTTGATGCTAGTCTCTTCAAGTGAAATGAAGCTAGAAGACTACCGTAAAATATTGGGAGAGCACCCAATCACCCTGCTTTCACTGAAAACTGGGTTAACCTAGGTATGGGCACTTGTCCGGTCACACCGGGCACTTTACGTGCAATTTGCCAAATTCCCAAGTTCGGAAAATGCTAATCGTGGGCTTTTGAATGAAGGGGGTGCTTCCGCGGTATTTTACGGTACGTAAGGACCTTTTAACCGGTGTTTTGCTTTTTCGTTATCTCAGTGTCGCCAGCAATGTGGGCTAACTGGGACCATCAAGATTTGTGTCAATGCCCCGTCGTCTTAAAGCGGCCGAAATGCACGAGACCTTTCCCTTTATATTGTTGTGCTCACTCATGCCTCGTGCAGCCCCGTGTACCTGGATGAAGGCCTGGACATGGAGGTGGCCTGCCGGCGGCTCATGTGGGGCAAGCATGTCAACGCCGGCCAGACCTGCGTGGCCCCGGACTACGTGCTGTGCCACCAGGCGGCCTACGCGGACTTTGTGGACACCTGCAAGAGGGTCATCACAGAGTTCTACTCGGAGGACCCCAAGGCCAGCCCGGACCTGGGACGCATCATCAACACCAACCACGTCAAGTAAGTGTCGTCTGCTCTGTCTGTAAAGGCTGGTTCGCACTTATGCTTTTGACTATGGCTAACTTCTCTACCGATCTTTAAGCCTCTTGCGACTGCTTATGACTTGCTGTGCTGCTGTGCAGCTAGTCTTAAGTGGCTCATAAACTGGTAGAGCAGTCTGTCGTAACCGTACACAAGGGTGTGAAACATGCTTCAAGGCCTTTTTGTAGAAGCTTGTTTATAATGGGGGGGGGGGGGGGGGCATATTGTTTGTTAGGCTTTAGTCAATAAAAATGACCACTTCTAGATGACAAGAGATCCTAGTAAACTCGCAGCAATAGAAATACACGGGCACTATTTTTTGGAAGAAGCTTCACATCCATGGGACGTCCTTGTCTCGTGCTGCAATTATTCACAATACACATGTATGTGCGAGCCTCGCGTAGTTACCAGTTCACTAGTTTTCGTCGCTAGTGCGACGAAAACTCAATTTTATAAAAAGTTTCAAGAGGAAACGAGCATTCTTACCTCACAGAGACGGGAGAGAGCTTCTGTGGGCGCCTACAACTGTCGTGCTTGACTTTTTTCAGCTTTATTTTGCTAAGTGTTTTCTCTTTTGGAGTCGTAAAAAAAAACGAAAACAGTGACGGCCGTGATTGGGACGTCCAACCACACAAGAACCTACCATTTTCTCGCCAGAAATCCTTAAAAATGAGTGTACCATGCAATGTACCATGCGGCCCTGCATTCGCACGCGTTGGCCCGTTGCTAGGCGGTTGCTAGGCCTGACATCAATTCTGTGGGAGGAGCTAAGGTATGGGCGAGAGGTCCCCAAGGACAATAGATGTCCAAACTCTTCCCATATATATAAGTGGCTCTGGAAATTTTCTGTTTGACGGCACCCACTAGTTTCAGCTCTAAGGCAGAGAAAGAGGTGCTCGTTACAATCTTTGATTAGATTTTAAATAAGGAAATAGGCCGCCCGTGAGCGATTTTCAGTTTTTTTAAGACGTTTAGAGCCCATAGATTGAGTTATCACCATAAATCGACGATATCAGAATTCACGTGAGTGGATTTTGATATCGGATATCGTCTTTCCTTTAAGCGATTGCATTGTTTCTGCATTTTGAGCCCCTGTTCCAGCGATGCACTGCTTTTTTCTGCTTCTGTTATTTGATGTGACAAGACTTCCACCGATCAATCACTGGAGTTGTGTAAGGCTCCAGGCTAGGGAAATATACTCGTCATTTTAAGCGCAATGCTCTCTCCTAGCTCCCTGTGTGAACAGGAAATTTCTAATAGTTTACAGGAACCACATTGTCACATGATACCAGAACATGTGATGCTTTGTCCATGACATTTCATCTCTTCAGAATCACACCCCCAAGTCAAAGAACTCTCGGTTAAAAAGCAAGTTTTGCAGATAGTTCACGCTTTGTACTAAGTTGTTTCTACTAGGTTTGGTTGTGTAATAGAAACAATGATTTTATTCATGTTTGAAATGGTACGGTCAGATATGATAATAAATAGGCTATCTTAATGTGTATTCAAGTATTAAATCTATAGAGTAAAAGAAAAATTTGCAACGTTTCCCAAGGAGAAAACTCTTTTTGCTGCAGCATGGTTTTCACCTCAAGGTTGAGAGTTTTGTTTGCGATTTTTCTCGAGGATCCTTTATTCTATTGCATGTCAGTGCGTTGTATGATTTTTTGTATAACTATCGCTCCTGTAATAATCCTAATTTAGGTTAACAGCATCATTCAATAAAAAATAATGCCAAACTCGATGCAGTCGCTACGCTGATTCTCGGCCAAATGCATCCGCGTTTAGCACTGGGGTTCATTGTTTACAGAGAGCCTTTGACTTTCTTTCATAAGAGAGAAGGTGGATGTAAGGAGTGAACGAACCAGACCAGAGACTGCTGCATGCACCGGGGCAATAAATGGTAACACATTTAATATATAAGATGAGTGTAGGATGTCCGTGATTGTGGTGGATTTGAGGGGTGCTGATGGTGGCTGTTGGCTTTGTTGCGTCCTGACAGGAGAATAGCCAAGCTGCTGAATGGCACCCGACCGGCCATGGGCGGCGAGGTGGACGAGGACACCAAGTACATCGCGCCCACCCTGCTCACCGACGTCAAGCCCACGGATCCCATCATGCAGGAAGAGGTCGGTCTTGCCCCTGCGTTTTCAAAATATTTTTGCATCGCGATGGGAAGTTTATTAATGCAGACAGGTGCACATGTCTGTTGTGCAAACGAAAGGTGGATCGTTGCTTTTGCTGCAATGGACTCGAATAATGGTCCCCAACGTTTAATGCAAATGGTTAGAACGTTGGTACGAGGCTGTTCTCGAGAGCCAAGGATTCCGTCAACTGCGCTCTAATTTTGCTGCTGGAAAGTCGCGGTTCAAGAAATGGTATGCTTCCGCCGCAGTATTCGTGGTCCCAGGGCTCCACCTCCTTCAGCGAGTGTGTGTGTGTACGGGTTAGTGTGCATGAGTGTGTGTGAAGGTAAATGAGTCCGGGGGCACAACTGGGATGAAGAAAAGGAATGACAAAGATGAGGTAAAAACATGTCGTCAGATACGTTCGCGAAGAGCGTTAGTGGAGGATTTGGGAACGCCGGCATTGAGTCTAACAGTTGGGCACACTGGGTTTTGTTTTCCCCGCCAGATCTTCGGTCCGGTGCTGCCGATCCTGAGGGTGCAGAGTGCGGACGAGGCGATTCAGTTCATCAACGAGAGGTGACTCCAACGGGCAACTTTCTCTCTTTTCCACTCGCGCGCCCCATGTACTAGAACTAGACAATCATTCGGCGGGCTACCCAGAGACCGTCGCTCCTCTCGCTCTTGTGCCAGTGGCGGGTGCAATCGATGCACTGTTTTGACAAATTAAATTGCTCTTGCCATCTTGCTGTTTTGGGCAGCTTCGGCGTTTACTGCAGTAGTAAACCCTTCTCAAAAGTCAGAACCACCTAGTGGCAGTCCCACTCCAGTACTTTTTCCCTATCGATGATGATAGGAGTGCAAGACCACCTAACTCGAGCACCCTTGAACTTTGTGCATTGAGGGCGACTCCCCGCTTTGGGCTCTTTGCTTTCGAAGACGTTCGCTTTTCTCGGCGTGGACAAGCTGCGCTATGCTACCATTAGAGCACCATGTTTTGCTCCAGACAGTGTAGATGGACTGTCCGGCTCATCATTAAAGCGATAGTTTCAGCCGCTCGAACCGGTTTCTTGTCGACGAACTCTTGTCTCGTTCCGCGTTGCAGGGAGAAGCCGCTCACGCTGTACGTGTTTTCCAAGTCCCAGAAGGTGATAGACCGCTTCATGCAAGAGACGTCCAGTGGAAGCATGTGCGCCAACGACACCCTCGTCCACCTGTCAGGTGAGTCTACCCTCGAGACTCACGCTTCGACACTGTCGTGTTACGGCTGATGCGAGAGAAAAGTGGGCATCTCTAACCCAAAGCGCCGCAACTCGGTGCGGTCGGCAACCTGTTGACGTCGGCATTTCGAGAGACTGATTTAGCCCAACTTTTGCTGCACGCATCTTGAATGGCAATGGCCATTAAAATATGCTCTAAAACTAGGGGGAAGACTTTTTATTTATTAATGCGAAAGCATTAACTGTCTCGTGGAGTGAGCTGATGTCATCAGTTGGAAGCGCGAAAACGGCGTATAGTTTCCCCGATCCTTCGGTTTGATTGGCTGGCGCGCGTCGACGGGGCTTTCATTGGTCGCTGCGCTGATCAGTTTCCACGACCGCTCACCCCAAGGTCGATGCGTGTCCATCAGTGTGCCTTTAGCGCGTGGCCAGGGGTGAATGTGCGCTGACCGGCGACGAAAAGTATGCAGCAGACGAAAAAGGGAGCGGACTGGCGGCTTGCATGCTTTCGCATTCACAACTCGTAAGGAATGCTTAGATGTAGCTCAATTTTTTTTTTTTCTGCCTGGTTGGGACAGGCATGTCTCAAAATGAATGTTTGTCGAAACAAAAATCTCTTTTGCCCTATATTTATGCTACAATGCAAATGTTTTGATTTACGGGCCAAACCGTAATTGTACCCCCGTTTGTTGGACAATGACGGCTTTTGTACCCCAAGTTTTGTGCGCTCGTAGGTCCAGCGAACTCTGAGCGCACGCTAGTTGGGTACAAACGCCGTCGTCGGCATCCCACAAGGGTACACTTTCGGTTTCGCCCGCAAATCGAAAAATTCGTATTGTAACATAGATATGAAACAAAAAACAAGTTTTTCTTTTCTACAAACGTTGGTTTTAAGACATGCCTGTCCTAACCAGATAGAAAAACATTTTTTTTGCTTCGTTTTAGTGTTTTTTTTTTCTTTAAGGGGATTTCTCAGCTGCAGTTGTAGCGTCGGCGTCGTGCCAGGTTTCACGTACGGTCGCTCGTGCTCTCCCTTGGCTCTTGCTGGGCAGCAGTGTCTCCCATTTCTAACAGGGAACATGTTTAAGGGGGGGGACACTACCCAGAAAAAACAATTGCTGCAAAAAAAGTTGATTTTGAAAAATGTCATGTTTACATCCATCCACGTTGAGAGAGTATTCCCAAGAAGTTTCAGTAGTTTACACTGCATAGTTAATTTTTTATAACTTATTTTTTGTCCACCGATGCTAAAGAAAAGGCAGGGGTTGGAAGACCTTGAACACATTTTTCTTTATTCCACTTTTTGGCATAAATTTCACTTTAGGAAAACTATTGTTTTCTTATTACGTAACTTGGATTCATTTTTACGAGTTTTTCTAGAGTGAAATTTTAAGGGAAAGATAGCTATGAGCTTGTATTTTTTTATTTTTGTCATTTTTTGAGGCTCAAGAATTCTAATTTTGGACAAAGAATGGAAATTAAGAAACAGTATTTGAGTTTATGTGGCTTTTTTGTCATGAAAGATGGTATAATATCGAAATATAGTCCCGTAGCTATCTGCTCTGAACTGTCCTAAAGTAATATAACACATGAAAACGACAAATTTATAAGTAATTTCAAAACAATAGTTTTCCTAAACAGACACGCCCACTTCAATCTTTAAACATTTGCAATTTTTTTGGTACTTCACCCAGGTTAACAAAATTTGCCACAAATGTTCTCAACATGAACAGAAACAAGCCCTGTAAATCTCGTTTAAATCGGACAAGTGGTTCAAAAATTCACTTTTTTGGGCAGCGTCCCCCCTTAAAGGGGCGGTGCAATGATTTTCGGACTTCGGTCAAAGATTTCTGGAAGTTGCCCCCAGAAAACCGATTTCGCCTGCGTGTCCTAGTTTTTGCGTAAAAAAAAGATAAAGATTGGTATTTCGGGCACCCCTCAACTCACTCCCAGCCTTCAGGGTCACACCTGGTCGCACTCCCAGTGACGTCATTCGGAGTGCCGTGTAGCTTCCCTTGTGCTATCCCGGAGGACGCTTCCCCTCCCTCTCTCTGCGTGCATTAGCGGGCGTTATGCTGCGGCTTAGAGCCGAGCGAGGTCACGTAATCTTTCCGCCGTAGTTCCTTCGGCTGCCACTTGGGGCTGCAGGCGGGGGGAAAAGCTCGACCTTTGCTTTGCGATTAAGCAGCGGAATCGCGACATTTTTATTGAAGAAAGTGTTTTCTCTATTCTCCGGGACACGATAAACAACGTAAAAATGACGAGATGCAAATTATTTTAATTATAAAATCGTTGCACCGCCCCTTTAAGAAAGCTGGCATATCCGAGGAAAGCAGGGGCAGATTTAGAGGGTGGGTCCGGATGTCCTGACCCCCCTCTTGATTTCTGCATGTGTAAATTATAGGGTGTGAAACGAGGGAGAGGGGGAGGGGGTTCTTAAACAAATGGTACGCTGACCACCACCTGACCCCCCCTTCAGGACATTCCTGCATCCGCCCCTGGAGGAAAGTGTGACTGAATGCTATTATGAAACGTGCACCGCACATTTTGGAGGACAGTCCGTGAAAGGAGTGGTAAATCGAGAAGAATGAACAAAGCTCTAGACGCGCCCAACGGGAACCGAGCCAACAACCCCTGCGATTGTGAGCCTGACGTTCAACCGCCGTGCCAATTAGCGGGCGAGCTCGAAACTAGCCAGCCTCATCTGTACCGCGTTGGCGTCTACTGTCCGTTCGAATGCTGACCAGCGGCATTCGTGTCGGAGTTTGGAACGGTTTATGGGAACAAACAAGAAATACAAGATATGCCTGTCACTACATAGAAAGGACAGAGTACAAAATTAAATAGCATGCTATAGCCAAAAAGACAAAAGAAAGACTAATATCTATCGCCAACCTTGAAGCGTGCCACACAAACATTCTATGTATACCGACTTAGGCCATAAAATCGAGAAAAATCAATTATTTTAATTCCTGTGATTGGCAGGGATGCTGCTGCACGTTGCTCGCCGTAGGACTCGATTTGAGTGTGCCATCGGACGTAAAGCGCCTTTTCGGTACCCATCTCGATTTAGTCTTGGGCAGAGGCTCTTGCGTGAAGTATGTTCCCTTTCCAATTTACTTGGGTGATGGTCACAAGGCCGTGTTGTGTGTGGTCGAGTAAATGGGTAAAAGTAATTGTCTTGTGCGTGTCTTTAGATGGTGGGATGTTGGTGAGCACCAACGGGCATTTGTTGGGTCTGCTGTAGAGGAGAAATCAATTTTGCCACTGCAGTACCACTGCGAGCCTGGAGTTTTTAACTTGCATCACGCGATGGCGATGCACGTAGCATGCCCGTACGACGCTCGTCCCGATCGAGACAGGTAAGGGTAGAAAAGTAAGTGTTGCGTGTACGTTTAGTCATCGGAAGTTAGTTAGCCTCAGTGGTCGAGAAATGTAGCCAGTGCATTATGGCTGCTAGCCTGGGGTCTTTGACATGCATCACGCAGCAGTGATTGACGTGCATCACGCAGGAGGGAGTGAGCCCGGGATTTCTGCGTTCTGCAGTGCGAGCTTTCACTCCACTGCAGAACCCAAGGATCCTTTCTATTTTATACATACATTTTGTGCGTGTGACAACGGCATGCGTGTAACAGTCGGGGCTGCGACAAGTGTTGTTCTACCATTGTTAATCCTTCCCATTTCATCCTACTTCACGCCGCTCGGCATTTCAGTTACTTTGCACATCAACGGCGTAGGTTCAGCTTGGCACATGTCGCTCTGCATGATGCTCTAAACTGTGGGGGCCCTCTCGGACAGCAATGCCTCTCTACCCGGTAATGCCTGTGAAAATCCAAATAAAGAATATAAATGATGGAATAAACGAGTGCACGATCTGATCTGCGGATATAATATGCGCAATAACCGCCATCGCTTCTCTGGTTTCCCAGTGGACACGCTCCCCTTTGGCGGAGTGGGGCCAAGTGGCATGGGGCGCTACCACGGCAAGTACAGCTTCGACACCTTCTCTAACAAGAAGGCGGTGCTGGTGCGCAACTTCAACCCCATCGGGGAGGCGTTTGGCCGCAAGCGCTACCCGCCCCTCAACGACTCCAAGCTGGCCTACTTCCGGCAGCTGCTGGCCAAGCGGTCCTCCCCCTTTGGCGGGCTCTGCAGCCACATGCCCTACTTGATCGTCTTCATGCTCGGCATCGCCTCGGCCTTTGCGCTCCGCTACGTCCTCAACGTGAGTGGCTTGCCGGTTGCGGGCAGTGGCAGTACGTGAGCTCGCCCGGTTGGTGGGTTCACGGCGTCCTCAAATGTGGTCCCTCGATTTCTGACCCAACGCGACGACGTAGGAGCGTCGTGCTGTTGGTAGCCGCCGGCATTATTGCAAAGTGTATTAGCGCGGCGTTTGGGCATAAAGAGAAAATGGTTAAATAGACCTATCAATAGAGCACACCGAAACATTCCACGAAGGTGTCTGAAAGTGGTGCTTTTATCGAACTAAAATGTTGTGTCTGTAGGTTTGAGGAAAAGAAGAAAGAAAAAAGCCTGAATAAAAGAAGTTTGTTCCTTTTTTTTTTCTATGCAAAAAGAGAAAAAGTGGCAAAAATTGTCCGGTTGATGCCGCTTCTTGCGGATGGTACCAGGCACGCTCGGATCTGCCGGATCCACTTTTGGGCGTTTGTCTCGGAAGTTTCGCGTTTCTGCCTTGTGTTGCGCCGTTAGTAAGCGGTGGCATCAACCGGACGGCTTCTGCCGTTTTACTCCCTGTGCAAGAGAAAGAATAATTTTTTTACTATTTTTTTTCGAAGTTTACACTCATAAAATCTTAGCACGATAAATGCATCACCTAAAGACACCTTTGTGAAAAGTTTAATTGCATTCAGCTCATTGGATTATTTATACAATTATTTTTACGCTCGAGCGGTGCTGGGAAACACCCCGTAGACCAGCTCGGTTGCAGAAACCCCGCGGCGAAGCGAGCACCCCCCGCTCCCTCTCCCAAGTCCGTCTGTCGTTCGAAATGCCATCTAAAAGTCTCGATTCAAAACTTTATTTGAGAGAGTCTGTAGTGAGGTGTCATACGGACGCTGTGCTTGAAAGCCTGACAGGACGAAAAAGGTGGGGAGGTGTTCCGTGCGAACCTCTAGCGTGCTTGCTGCTTTCTATCATGCAGCCAAAGCATGACCAAAGGCAACGAGAGTGCGTGATGGAGGCTGGGCAGCCGGAGGAGGCACCCGCAGTTCCCGTCCTTTCGCTGGTCGCAGCGACTAAACGTGCCGGCGGTGATGTTGTGAGGCAGAAATTGTGGGACCAAAAGTGAAGATGCAGTAACCATGCCAATTCAAGACTCGTTTCCACGAATTATTTAAGGGTGGACCTTAGCTCGTGAAATTTCGAGACAAGCAAATAATAGCACCATCCTGTTTTCGACGGCAGGCTCTGACGCGGACAACAGAGTTTCCCGCGAGTCGCGCTCATGGCACCATCTCTCGACGGGCGCAGAGAGTGTTTGTTCGAAATCGGAGCACATGGTAGCGAGCGTTTGCTGCGCCTGCTGGGAGATTGCGCCGCAGACGCAACTTCTGGGCAATTTGGTTGTCTGCTAGGGAAGACGAGAGAGTGAAAGATGCAATCCAGCCGCGTAAGTAAATGTATTCACCCATATTTTAGGTGCATCCTGTACCCTCTTCGCAAGTAGAACATCCAGATAAAGCTAGCTCACGTGTGTAGATATTTGGAAACTTTGACAAATGCTTTAGAGCTATTTACGCAGGAGAATATGTCCGAGCTAAAACTGCCTCTGAGTACTTGGTCATGGGATGGAAGATGTTGTAGGATACATTGCTTACCCTGGGAATATCTTTGCGGACTTTCATCTGAGGCCCCCTGGCTTTCACTGCGCTGCTTACGCGTGTGGCTGCACCGTTTGAGTCGGCAGTCGGAGAAGGTGCTTTCACGTTTGTCGTTTACCGGTGGTTGCCATTCACTAACCCGCATGTTCCCTCTTCGTAGGACACTAAACACGCCAAGGAGATGCCGTGACTGTGCACGTTGCTGGGCAAGGTAGATAGTGCAACCCTTCTACACGTGCTGCCTTTTTGTTTGCTTTGTGTGCATGTGTGCCTATGTTCACCGTTCCTGCATGTGTGTGTGTGTGACGTACATGGATGCTTTAGTTTTTTTTCTTCCTTCGTCAACTATACTCCGATTCACCTTACGTTGTACCGCAAAGAAGGCTAGAAGCGCGAGCTCAAAGCGTTGGGAGCTGCTTTTAACGCACGAGTGCTTGTGCCGCTGAGATGTGCTCTAGAGCAAGGAGCTCAAGCTTGTAGCCTTTCCTGCGGTACATCATAAGGTGAAACGGAGTATAGCGCTCACCTTTTTTTGTTTGGTACTGGTCACCCCGAACAGTACACCCCAAAGGTCATCCTGGCACTGTCCCACACTGCCTGGTGACAGCTACAGAAAGACAGCGGGGAAGGAAATGGATGGGAAGGAAAATCATACTTTGGGCTCATAGGCTAGGGGGCGCAAGCTACCACCCGTTAGAAAGGGTACAACCGTGAGCGCCCATCCGGCTAGTGAGAGTGCTATACCCTATTTCATTTTACTTTGGACAACAGCGAATGCTACGTGCCATCTCATTTGATCCAGCACCGTGAACATGTTATGGAGCCAAGCGCCCTGCACATTGCTACGTTTCTCCCGAAGATCACGTAACGTTCCTGCGACATTGGATTGGCTTTGGCAGCTCGTAGAATCCTCAGTGTTTTGTCGTAAAGTGAAACTGGGTTTGAAACTGTACGATGCTTTCAAAAGTATTCACTGCAGCTTATACATGGGATTGACTGTTTTGGGCTATGGAATGTTGAGTTGCCCCTAGAGTCACCCTATAACTGTGCTTGAGTGTGATGCTGTTGCGGCAGTGAGGTGCTTTTGCACGTGTGTGCAAGCCATGGGCTTTACCATTTTCTTGCTCAAAGCTTTGTCTTCACCGTGGACCACGGACTTTTTTCTCGAGGCAGCTCCTGCACTTTAGATGTAGTATTAGGGGATTGTGGCAATGTCTATGATTTGCTTTAGCAGTAATGACACTGCTGTTAGGAGTAGCTTTTTTTTTCTTCTTATTTTTATGAGTTTGAAGGTGCTTTTTAAGTTTTAAGCTTCTTTTTCTCTTCATTGTTGCCTTGTTAATAACGCAATTCTGTGCATTCAATTTGTGCATATAAGACTGATTTTATAGTTATGTAGTATTGATATATACTTACAGACTAGATATCTTTTTTACTGCTGAGCAATGTATATTCGCATGGTGGGACCTTGTTAGGTAAATATAGTATTATCATTATTATTACTATTATGATTATCATAGTCATTGCAAACAGAGACTATCGTGAACCGGGCAATCACTCTTTCAATTTAAAGCATTAACGGTCCAAAGCACCTTCTATACAGAACACCAGGTGTTCAGGGACATACCATAGTTACGTTTAGCAGACCGCTGCTACTGCTGCTTAAAGAACGCTACCTGGTAAGGTCTGTCAAGAGTAATAGTATCTGTTTGAGAACAACTACGCAATATTAAAAACATTAGTTGCTGGTCCCCAGAGTGGCAGAAGGATTGAGTTGAGTTTAATGCTTGAATAAGAGGGAGAACTGTTTAGGTTTGGCGAAACAGCCATTTAGAGCTTGGACTCTCGATCTGGGTTTCTAGGAACCCAAGGTTTCCCCAGAGTACTTACTCTCAAAGTTTCCCCGAGCTTTCGAATTTCGTCAACAGCCTCTGCTGTCAGGTAAAGCACTTTTCCAGGTTAAAAAGGCACTGACACGTAAAAATCTTTTTTTTTTTATTATCCGAAACGATTGAAAACAATCCCTGGGCATTAACCCTCAGAATACGAAACTTGGGAATTCAGTAGTTGTGAAGTAAAAAAACAACAATTCCAAAATGCCGAATTTGAAGTTCCCGCGCGATCCGCACCAGTGCAGTGACATCAAATATTGAGCTGTCCTGCGAGTCGAATTTCTTTGATGCCTCCGCTCTGAACCGCCATTGTTGCTGCAATCCCTGGCGTACCGGGAACAAACGGTTTCTTCTGTGCGTGCTGTGCTGCCTATCGCTGCTAGCAGACGATGCTTGACGTCTCGCCGGTTCTGCGTGAAAGGCTGCCCCGGCGGACTCGCAACCGAAACTACGATACACAGACACCACACCCATTTGTTTTTTTGACCGTTGGACGATTTTCTTCTCGTTGTATGAGAGGTCGTCGGGCACCTAAATAAGATCACTTCGTCAGATTCCCCGACTCACCGATCATCCTCTGCTACATGCATCGAGCGCCGCCATGTTTTCCGAGTGAGGATAAAAATCCAGGAGGCAATATCACACCGAACTAATGATTTTCGGTATTTCAAAAAGAAAGGCCGTAGTGCTTTCGCAGTGGCGTTAAAAGAACATGTTTTACGAAAGAACATGTTTTACGATTGCCGTTATTAAGAGCTATAAAAATGTCGCCTAAAAAGCTTCTAAATTTCATCATATTTGACGTCACTAATCAAAAGAAGACAAAAGCGCCAAAAATAAAAAGGCGGGCGCGCGTGGGGAAAGTTTTTTTTTGTGTTGTGGTATTTTTTGCTTGTCTATGACTACAACTTGCATCCTTTTAGACAATAAAAAAAACAAATGACTTTTGGGGTGTCGGTGTCCCCTTAAAGGCCAACCAACGAGCAGAGAGGAGGAAATTCTCTTTCAATTCCACCCTTCGATTCGAGAAAGAGGAAGACCCTCCTCCTCTCTGTGGGGAGTAGCTGGGAAACCCGTTCCCGTGAAGAGGGCAAGAGGGAATGGAAAGAAGGAAACTGGGAACCTATATTTACCTCGGCATATGACTTTAGGTCGATATTTTAGCGTATCTGAGCCGCTCACCGACGCACAACTGTGATCCAAACGTTGCCCAATATTTACACAATCAATTGCAAAGCCTGTAAGCTTTTGCACTGCTATATTGCATCATTGCCAAGATTGGGAGGGTGTTCCCTGCCTATCAAATTAAAGAGGGCTCTTCCTTTTTTTTTTTTTCTTAGCAACCCAAACTAAACAAGTTTTCATCACACTCGGGTTTTGCTCATTCCAACATGATAGTCATTATCTTTAAATTCAAAATGGCTAAAACGAAAATGAAAGTTTGCCAAAACCAAATCATTCAAATGTTCCCTCCCTTTCCCATAGGGTGACGTTGTACAACTTGCTAGCCAAGCAGGCAGTCTGAAAAACGCAGCATTTTGCATGTTTTTCTTTGTTTTTGCTGGCATGAGCTTCCCCAGCATTCGCTTCACACTGCCAACTGTCTGGTAATCCGCCGGGAATAAGCCGTACTGCCCTTATATAACGACATTTGGCGTCATGTTTTCAGTGTCCCCAGCAGAACCTCTCGGACAAAATTCGAAAATTCAATAACATTTAAAAAAAGATGTTAAACCCCTTTTGAAAGACTGCCCTCTGTAGGCAGCTGTGGAGGCCCTGCACAAAGGTGGACTAAATCCGCAGTGTAACGGCACGCTTTATGCCTTTGGTTGGATTAGAAGGCAAAAACATTCCCACGCAGAAAATGTGCTGAGCTTGTCGGCTCCTGGCATTGTCCATGCTCCGATGTTCATCTTATGGAATGACTTGCACGTTCCACGATGTCAGTTGTTCCACCATTGTGCAGTGGTTCCTACTTCCTAATAACCGGCATATGAGTTTGGAAAAGGCTCTATTGTGTCTTGTATTTTCGGTTACTGATTGAGATGGGCCTATTAATGCATTGAAAAACTTTTTAGGCATATCAGTGACTGTCAATGTTTCGCCATTTTTAATTAAGGAAGACGGGGGATTTCTCGAGATCAAAACTTTTGATAACCTTCTGTTTAGAGGGACCACGCAGTCATTCTTGGTTCTAGAGTTGTCCAGTTATTTGCAAAGCAGTACTTAATTGACTTTGCCAAGCCTCTCACTGCTTCTTGTTGTCTCGTCTTGCAGGCCTTTGGGAAGGAGATCTAGGGTGGCCACGCTTGGCGATTTGGAAGACAGAAAGCACCGAGCGAAGACGTCGCGGTCATTCTCATTTTGTGGACCAGTTTTTGACGAGTTCCTTTCTTACAATTTTTTTTTCTTCTCTATTTGTTTGAAGTCTAGTTTGCACAGAGTCGTCCTTAGCTTACTGTGATGTATATAACATTGTTTCCTTAGAGAGATTGCCTTTATTTTGCGCCGACGACATGCACTCTTGCGGTGCTGTGCTGTCGCAGTTTGCTTCGAGGTTTCGAGCAAGAATGGAGAGAGATGTCCAGAACTGGTCCAGGAGACTGTGTTGGAAGCATTGCTGGGGAGAAAAGAACCTGCCATAGTGTGAAGCACTTTTAGGCTAGCCTTAACGTGCACTGGCAGGGCAACTCATTTCTCGGCCACAGACTTTAGTACGGATTCAGACTTTTTACGACATATGTGAAACCTGTGTAGAGATTTTCAATAAAGAAACTTAACAATGTTGACTGAGGACTGGCTGTATTTTGTGAGAACTGTGAAAGTAGCTGGAGATCTGAAGACCTTTGCAGCGACCAAGTGACCATGGGGCCATGTTCCAAAATTTAGTCCATCTTGTTCCAGGGTAAAGGTTTTGTGTAGCCTGGTGTTCCAAAACCTATCTGCATCTAGCGTTTTTTTATTTTGTGTTGTCACGTGATGCAACCTGTGGGAGTAAGTCTGATCCATTTGTGCAAGATCTGGAACACAGCCTGGAAGAATGGCTGTTGCATTGCTCTAGTGCTGTGCTAGCCTTGCCAGGCTGGGTAATGCTTGGGAAGTTGGTGCAAAGAAAAAAAGAAAATCTCTGTTCAAAGATTGGCGAATAGGAGCTCTTGATTGGTAAACCACGAGTAATTCGAGGTAAATATGTGGTTTTGGAGGCAAGTCGTGAGTATAAAAACTGTTTGGCCCTTGTCGGCACGGCATTGATGTCCTTGGAGGTGTTGCATTGATGGTGACTACGCTGCACAGTGGAATCCAAGGGAAGCAAGTATTGCATGTGTGCTAACATAAATTGCTTTGCCACTCAATGGTAGGTACAGCCACGAACATGCCATGTGCTTAAGATGATCCTTAGACAATATCTTTCTACAGAAAAATGATGACACCACCACCGCCACCTACACACAAGATGCCTTGCACTTTACGTCATTGCGCCATCTTGGCGGTCGTTCGTACTTGTTCCTGTCGAGTAAAACGAAGACCACCGCAATGGTAGCTGATGCGACCTCAATGCAAGTCATGTATACACAGCCTTCCACAATATGAGACGCATTTGCCGAGGCATCTTATGTGGCGGTGCTATGTACATTTTGCCCAGAAGCACTTTATATTTTGAGGGAGAAGAGAACGACAAACAAAGCGAATCCAGCACTAGCGTCTTCCTAATTCAGTAAAACCTCGTTATAACAAAGTTGAAGGAGCGGTCGTAATTATTTCGTTATAACCATTAGTTTGTTATAGCCAATGTCCATTTCTTCCCACTATTAGCAAGCAAGGGGAATTATGATTGCTTTGTTATATCCATTAGTTTGTTATATCCCGTTTTGTTATAACGAGGTTTTACTGTTGTTGGAGACTGTGCTACCTCAATGAAGTCAAACGTGCGAGCAACTTCAAACGCAGCATGGGCGGCCAGTCACGGCAGCACAGTCCGTGCTCCGTTCTTTTGAAACATTTATTACAACTCCAACCTATCTTTACAAGGGATGCGGGCAAGCTTTCGTCTGCAGCGCTGAAGAGGCTCGTAGTACTCGGGCTTGTGGTTCGCCGCTAGTGGGTCCGGTACCATTCCTTCTTTTCGGCCAGCTCCTTCTCCACCTCGGCGATGTAGGTGTCGAGGTAGCTCTTGTCGTCCTCCATCTTTGTCCACTGTTCTTTGGGCAGGATGGAGTGGTTTATGCTGCACTGGACAGCTCGTAGGAGACGGAAGTTGCGCTCGTCAAGGATCTTCTTGGGCAGGCGACGCACTGCTTCGTCGATGACCACGTCGTTGGACTTGTACAGGTCGTCATGGAGCAGGCCGAATTGGTAGTACTTCCGCTGGTTGAACAGGAATCTGCCCCAACTGCTGTTTGTGATCTGCTTGTAGCTCATTTTTTGGATATTGAAGAAAAACCGCCTCTTCACGGCTTCACCTCTGAACGTCCTTTTCAATGGCAGACGTGAGATTGTTACGTTCGAATGGTCACAGACTGTTAACATCTATCACGTTTCTTCTAACCACGTATGACGTCATTTGCGTAGAGTTGCAAAAGCCTTTCGCAAAAACGTACGTTGAAAATGTTGCAGAAATTGGATGAATCGAAGACACCACACGCTTCTTGATTTCGACCATTTCGACGCTAGGGGTAGGACTGCTACATCCGGCACATCCGGCATGGCGCAGCTGTCGCGCTCGCATCCGGCCGCGCGCGCCAATCAACACGCAGCGTTGCTTTGAAGGACGTCACGGTCGTTTCGACCAATCACAAACGCGGAAAGCCTGGGTTCCTCGCACAAGGCGCGCAAATTTGATAGGAAGCGTGTGGCCGCCATTATGAAGTTTCGCGGATTGCGCGGGTGAAGTCTCCGAGGAAAAACTTTCTCCGAGGTGTTTTCGCGAGTGTTTTTTGAAAGAACTTGAAACTCGGTGTGTCTACTTGAAGATGGAGACGCTCAGGTAGCCCATTCACTTCTCCGTGATGAGGAAGTCCACGTTCGTGGAAAGGTAAGTCCACTGAAAGCCACCGCTGGTCTTTTTTTTAATTTTTATTTGATTTTTTGACATGGCCATCATGGCAGCGGCGAGCATCTGTGCTGTGGCGCGCACTGTCAACAAGGCTGGATATCGCGCGCACTCCGCTCGCTGTATCCCGATGATCGAAACAGCTGCTGGGCGTTAAAACGCATTTGTTGTCTCGCTCCATGCTGCGATTACAGCTGAAGTCGCGCTGACAGTTGTTTTGGCGTGTCGAGATAGATCGATTAGAGACACCCCCCAGCCTAATGTGGCTGTTCCCACGACCCATCGGAACCGCAGCTGTTCCTTCGCGAGGAACCCTGATCGCCCAAACAACCCCGGCTCACACTCGACTTCGTTTGAGTGCGACTTCTCGATATTTCGTTGTCGTGTTCCCGACAGAGTCTCGTTCAAAGCCCTTTCACGCTTTATTTACCCGTGTTTGCGATTTTGTCCGGTGGGATCCAGTACTACCTCGTACTTCGGCAGCGTACTTCTTTCTGATTTTTTTATCCGCCCGGCGGTATTCGTTTCGGATTTTACATCTTCGCTTGCACTGCTTACTTTGAAGCGTCATGTTTCGAACTTTTGATGCCGCCGGCGTGGGCTGTGATTTCGTCTTGGCGCCGGTCGCACCTCGTTGAACCGATTGCCGGCGCTCTTGGCTGTTTACGTATTGCAGAACTTGATACGGGACGCCTTATAGCCGATCATGTGTATGTGACAAGTCGGAGATAGTGGCCCTTTACAACACGGAGGCGCGCCGCGACTCGGAGATAAAAAGACGCGGTGTCTGTTTAGTTTAGTTCCAGGTGTGTTGTTTCGTTTCTTTCTTCTTTTTTATTGTTATCGCTCGAGGGCTTTTTTTGCCTGAAGCAGCACTCCAAATGGCGGGGGCTCGCTTTGATTCAAGCTCTCTTTGACGGTGCGATTCGCCGTGCCTCCTCTACGCTTCTTCTGGGAACGTGATGCATTGAGTGGTCGAGCTCAATCAACCGACATCTACACTTCCCCGGCTCTCACGTCCTGGCCGTGGTCTGTCATAGCGCTACATGATATTAGTTCATGAACTTGGACCTTTAATAAACGTTATTTCACCAACTCTGTTGGTAATTTTTTTTTTTTTTGCTTGAGGCACGAACATTTTTTTTCGAAGTGCCGTTGTGCAGATTGCGTAGTACATTGCTGTGACACTTAGTTCCCATGGAGGCTGCTCAAAGTTTCCTGGTTGGGTTTCATAGATTAGTAGCTAAGGGCTGTTGGAATTTCTCAGAAACAACAAAGAAACACTGGCCAGGCCGTATTCACACACGTCATGTCGTCCGCCATTTTCCCGAGGCGTTTTCAGGGATCTATGTCTATTATTTTGTTATGCTGTGTTTGGTGAACTCTAAATGACCGAACCTGTCTTAATATCGTGTTCAGTGGATTCGTTTATGACTTAGTGCAGTTATGAGAGCAATGCGAATTAGCCTCAAGGCAGACCTTCTCCTGAATCTAAACAAGCTCCCTTTATATCAACACGAAAAGAAAAAAAAAAAAAAACATAGTCACGCAGTTATTTGTGTATTCACAAGCATGATGTCCTGTTTTGACGCCTCTAATGTGCGAAGCATGCATGCCCACGTCAGACACGTCGGCAAGCTTCCAATGAAATGCGCGTTCCCACGCGCCCTGTGACATGCTGCGACCAGTTCGACTTTCAGCGACGCATAAAAAACATGCTGTCTCTCTTTCTTTTTTTTTGGCCCTTTTCGTTTTGCGTTTGCTGCATACTTTCAAAACCTGCGCAAAGATTGGGATGGTGTTGCCCTACCGTAGTGATTGGCGCAGGAATGTCGACGAATGACCTTTGAGTCGGCAGCGTGGCCTTGCTTTGGTCACACGCGGAGGCATGCGGTGTAGAGAAGCTCGTTTTAGCGAACGCCGTTTTACCGACCCCGGTTTATCGAATGCCTTTATAGAGAACCCAGTTTACAGAAAATGGCGATGAGCCTCCTTTTAGCGAATTTGGCCGCCGCGAAGCGGCGTGTACTGGTAAATCTGGTGAGTTAACATTTTAAACAACATCGCCAAAATAGTATCCCAAATATTAGTTCAAAATAAATTTTTTTTCACGAAGTTATTTAATTTACAATTTTGGTCCTCACCGTGTTTTTCAAACTGAAAGTCTCTACTGGCAACAACGAAAAAGTGACGTCAGTGGAAGTGCAGGGGTTCACTCTTTGGACTGTAGAGTTTGTTCCCAACTGATTCGAAGCAGTTTCATGGTGTCGAATGAATGCTTTGGAAGCTCGCTCCGGCACGGAACGAATGATTGGCATATTCTATTTTTTAGACTGCTCGCTCGACTGGCAAGCCTGCCCGCCACCGACGTCATGGCACTGAAAAGTGCGGGTATATTTGAACGTTGGTTTTTGCATCATTTTCATTTGCCGATTTCGCAATAACTATTATGAATTTCGCGATACTAAATAGCATACCGGAAAGCGTAAAGGGGGGAGTCAGAAAATATAGTTAGTTGAGGTAGCTAAAAAAAAATCGCCGGAGTACCCCTTTAACACGCGCACCAGTGATACACGCAAAAAGTAGGAAAGCCTTTTTTTTTTTAAAAAGCGTCCCCTTTTCGATCAACGGCGTTTCTCTAAACCGTGCTTCGATAAAACGTGCCCATTCTCTATAGCATGCTTCGATGAAATGGCATTCGATCAACCGCGTAGTAGTTTCCGACAAGAATGTACGTTTCTATCTATCTCGAATTAGCAGGACGGTTTGGATCGAGGAACAAATCGTTCTTAACATAAGCAGCTGACCTCGTGGAATGGCTTTTAAAGGAATGCTAGGAAAGGTAACACAAAGTAGCCGGTGAAGCCGACTTCGGCACTCCAGTGAGAGCGAATCTTAATTTCGGTGTTAATTATATATATATATAAAACTGCGTGAAGAGTGTCTTTGCATTTTTTGTTTTGTTATTGTTGCCTTTTTTTTTAAATAAGCTTGTGTACGTGGAAAGGGGGAGGGGGTTCCGTTTTTTCCCGCTTTGACCTTGTCCTTTGTGTAGAGGTGGTCTGGCTCGAATTAATGCCTTTTTTTGTTTGTGTATGTGCGTGGAAGGAGGACGCCACGTCTACAGTGACGCGTCTGCTCCAACGTGTTTGCAGCTTAGTTCGTGTCGTGGATCGACTAACGGATAAAGGCTTGTGCTTAGCGGCGATGTGAGATTCCTTGCGCTCCTCCATTAAATCACAATTTAACCGGAGTTAATTGTTGGAATTATAAGCTTTGGCTAGGTGGCGCAAGTCACCGCCCGATTAAAAGGCTTCAGCCGTATCCATCCATGCAACGATGACATTTGGGGGCAAAGGCGCAGGCCTTCTCTTCTAAGTGGTGTTGCTATGCCACGTTACGCTTCACATTGATTGCTAGGAGTGGGGGGTCCCTTTTTAGCAGTCTGTTTCACATATAGCCCAACAGGCGGTTTAAAAAGAAGCCCGACGGCAGCGCCACCGCCGTTGCGTCACGTCAAAGCCACCTATCGGTATTACCGCATCTGCGAGCAAATCTGAGGGATCTTTCAGAGACGCGCGATTGAACCGAAAGTTGGACACAGCCCCAGTCTTGGAGGCGCCTCTGGGTCGTGAGAGTGAAATTCATGCTAATCCTTATCGAGCCGCCTGGTGGTCGGCGCCCTTTGCGGCTCGTATCAGGGGACGCGCTTTTCCGTTGTTTTTGGCACATGCCCAAGCTGACGTTCGCATTCGTGAGCATTTTCCGAGAAGACATGCCGGAAGTGCATTCGTATCATTCCTGGGCGGGTGGGAGAAGCGACTCAAACGTTCTCATGAGATTTTCCGCCATTTTGTTGTTACATGTTATCACCGCGATGGAACTGGATCCAACCAAGTCCGTGACAGCCGACTTCTCAAATAAAACGCTTTCCCACGCCTTTCTTTTTTTTTTTTTTTTTTTCTGTCCGCTACGTGTTGAACGGAGCTTCGTATTTTCGCCGGCAAGTTGTAATGGGCAGACATGTTTAGACCTGCCTATATGGAGCGCAAGTTCGTCTGCTTTTGCAGGGGTTGTAACGACGTCAAAACGCCGACCTCTGATTGGCTCTGATTGAAGAATAGTCGGTAGACCCATAGAGTAATTATAATGTACGCTAGAGGTTCAACTGGCGCTAGTGTCTATGCGACTTCCGTGACGCAAATTGAAGCAGACAGCAACCAGTCTACTTTTGCGGTGCTCCTGTGCATTCCTATAAGAAAACGGGCGTGCATTTTGTCTCTTCGCCGGAAAACAACACTGAACACTTTGGTTATTTCGGTCGTACCGAATAGTATGTGTCTTAATTAACACTGTGAAAGTGTAATTGCTTTAGTTAGCGCATTTTTCTTCATCAGTGACTGACGTTTAACCTCGCTGCATTTCAGTCCCAAACGTGTGTTCCGCAGCAGGTGTGTAAAAACAAGCGACGATTCAAAGCAAAATTACGATCGAAACAAATATAGAGTGTGTTCAAGGCTCGCCAGCATTCCGGTGACGTTTGTATATTGATAATATGCCAGTCCTGTCACCATATGAAAATGATCCCGTCGTGCATGAGCGGATAAAAACCTTCAACGTAGAGAATAAAGTCCGTGGGATATGAAAGGTGCCTCTTCGTATGGTTTTCTCTGCCGGGCAGCTTTTATCACGCACTTGTTCTCAAAGATGTCTAGCGCGCGGGTGATATTTTGAACGTAGAACACGCAGCTTCGCTCAGGACAGAAAGAATAAAGCGGTACTCACTTATTTAAAATCAGAATAGATTACGTGACCTTCAATTTATTTTGATCGTACATGCACTGCGAGTTACTGGTCCGGTGTTGCTGCGTAGTTCTTGCCGCCGCTCTTGATTTTCCAGATGTCCTTCGCCGACGCCGCGTTCGCGCTAACAGTGTCCGACAGTGCACATAAATACACGTACGAAACCGTTTTAGCACCGT